TCGCTTCATACAGCTTTCCACCCTGAGTACAGACATGATGCTGCTTAACCATTGTGGGCACCTTTGGATGTTGCAGACAAGGGTCCTTATAAGCCTTAAAGCATCAGACAGGTATGGTATTACATGTTTACAGGGGGCCATCTTTAATGGTAGCATCTGGTAACCCAGTTTAGCTACGTCCAAGGAATTCCTCCCAGTAATCACATTTATTCTGGGTAGAGCTTGTTGAGGAAGGTCTTCCTCATGGCATTCGTCAGCTCCTTGCTCCTGAGACTGAAGATGATGGGGCTGAGGAAGGGAGTGAGGACCGTGTAGGTGATGCCCATCAGCGTGTCTCCTTCCAGAGACTGGGGAATCTTGGGCTTGAGGTAGATGACAGAGGCGAAGCCATAGTGCACGACCACCACGGTGAGGTGGGACGCACAGGTGGAGAAGGCCTTGTGCCGGCCCTCAGCAGAGGGGATCCTCAAGATGGTGGCCACAATGAAGGCGTAAGAGAGGAGGATGAGGAGACAGCATCCCAGCAGGGCCATGATACACATCAGGCCCACGCCCTTGGCCACTACCTGTACATCAGTTCCACAGGCCAACTTCAATAGTGGAGGCACATGACAAGCAAAATGCTGGACCTCATTGGGTCCACAGAAGGTGAGCTGGAAAATGGCTGATGTCACCACCAGCCCATGACTAAGCCTCCAATCCAAGACCAGGCCACCAGACAGGCACAGCCACGGGGACTCATGAGCACGTTGTAGTGCAGGGGGTGGCAGATGGCCACGTAGCGGTCGTAGCCCATGACAGTGAGCAGGAAGGAGTGGGTGAAGCCGAACGTGAAGGAGAAGAACATCTGGTTGGCACAGGCCATGAAGGAGATGGAGCGGTGGGTGGAGAGCAGATCGGCCAGCATGCGCGGGATGATGGCAAAGGTGTAGAGGGTCTCAGAGATGGAGAGGGCGCACAGGAAGAGGTACATGGGTTGTGGAGGCTGGCGCTCACTCCAGA